CTGAGCACCTCCTGATTCTTTTTCTCTTCCCCGGTTTTGAAGAACCCCCAGGGATTGTCCGTCTGTGGCTGTTTCTCTGAATACTTTAGAATTGAGGCAGGGCACTCCATTGAGAAGTCAACTTATATACCTCCCACAGCTTTATTCATCATTAATAACAAGTGGAGTCAGCCCAGATGTCCTTTGGTGGACATTGTTTAGGACTATCATTCCATGGTGATAATAAAGAATATAGCAACTTTAATTTGTTTTAACTCCTACATATTTTTATTTTATAAAAATTCATTAGTAGCCAGGATAATGAATAGCACAAAATCTGGATCTGTGAAAAATAAAGTTTGCTAAAGCAACCGCACCAGAGATTTATCCTACTATTAAAAACTAATCTGTGTCACCTGCTTTGCTATGGGTAGGCCAGTAAATTAGGAATCTGTGAATAACTACTTTCTTAAGACTCAGAAAATAACTCTAAGATATGTTTTATTTGTGACAGCATACCCCAAAGTACAAAGAGAAACATAATCACTGAGAAGACAGCAAGCAATAATTTGGGAGAACCATGCATGATTAAATAACCTTTTGAGGATGATACTGTTCCTTCCTAAGAAGAAAGTTAATATAGGTGACCCCCCATACAATTACAATAGAACCTCTTTATGTTGACCATCCAAGGGACTGTAGCAAACCAGTAAATGTATGGAGGTGGCCAACAAGGTAGCTAGGCCTACTGTACTGATAAATACATGTACTTTACTTTCTTATATAACATTTATTAAAGAATATCATATGAAATCATGCATAATCAAAACACAGTAAAATTATACATACAGTGTCATACAAAATCAATACATTTTAACTGGTTCTATTTTTGTCCTTCTACAAAAAATGTATCTCCTTATAGCCTGCACTGAATGTAGACTGTTCTCAATGCCCTGTCCTCGATACACTACTGGTGAAAGGTAACAGCCTTCAGTGACACTCCTGAAGAACTGGCCAAGATCCTCCCACTCCCTAGAAACTGACTTTAGAAATAGTAAATAAAGGCAGTTTTGGAGCTCATCTTTGTAATCCTATTGCCCTCCCTTAACTGGGAGTCTTTGCCCTTTTGCCCTTTGGTCAGGATCTTATCCTTGCTATGTCTTGACACAGTGGGCAATTAACAAATGTTCCAAAGCCCCTTGGATAGAGGAAACACTGTAGCAACCCTATAAAGTAGTTTGAGTATAAACTATTTTATCCCCCAAAGGATTAGGCTGCCTTCTAGCTGGTGAAACCACTTCTCCCCAAGGAGAGGAAATGCCACTAGTGCTTGACAAAGGCTTTATGCCTTTTATTTCCCATGTCCATACAGCTCTTAACTGAGTTTGCTATGTCTCTAGTCTGACAACATGGGGTTGTGTAAATAGAAGTAGGAATGGGAAGAGGGGAGAAGAGTAGATAAAAGGCATTCGTCTAAGTAGAGATAACTATACCATGCTTATTTCTACTAAGTATGGATGGGAAAGACTTCTTACTTCTGGTTTCATTTAATGATAGTTGGTGTCATCATTTTTTTTTTTTTGTAGTTTCTTCACTTAAGTTTATTTTTACATTGTGGTAAAATATACATAAAATAAAAATTTTAACCATTTTTAACCATACATTTCATAGCACTAAAGTACATTCTTATTGTTTTGCAACCATGATCTCCATACATAGAAACATTTCTTCATCTTACAAAATTGAATCACTGTACCCCTTAAATAACAGCTTTTTTTCACACTGCTCTAGTCCATGGCTCTATATCCTACTTTACATTTTTATAAACTTTACTCAAAGTACCTCATATGAATTGAATTGTACAGTAGAGCAAAGAAATCATGAGGAAGAAGAATACACAATGTATAACATATGTCTTTTAAATTAAATAAAAGCACTGAGATCAGTAATACATAGTGATTATAGACCAATATAGATAAAAGATAAAAAGAGACTGAAAAGGCACATTAAATTTATGAGAATTATGCCTCAAGTACCAGAGCAGTGAGGCCTTCACCTCCATCAAAGGGTTGGTGAATAGTGGAACTGGGTGCCCAGGTAGACTATCTGAATTCCAGATCCCACACTAATTCCAAACTTTATAGTGTCTCTGTCTCCCAGGCCCTGAGTTACCCCTGAGATTTCACATGGCTATCCTGGGATTTGAAGGTGCTGCTGCCCTAATGAAATAAGGAATCCAGCTTGTACCACATCTGTCACCTCCAGGAAAGGCAGATGTGAGTCTACTAGGAGCCACGCCTCTATTCCCCCTCCTTTTGTGTCCACCATTTAGAGAACTGGTGTGCCAGGAATCACCATGAAAGAGGACATGATGCTGACCAGGGATCCATAGACACAGGAGCTTTGCACAGGTCCACAATGCTATTCTGTGCCTTTTAATCAGAAAGGCTTGGCCCATCTCCATGGAATGACATTCTTTATATGGACATTATGAGGTGGCTTCTAGTAGTGATTGATATTAGTAGCCAGTAGTATACCTGGCCACCCACACTAGTACATGTAAACACCTGCACACACAAACCCTATTCGCTGTCGACCCCTTGTAACAGAATCCAAACCACTGTGGGGCAGAGGTCACCATGGCAGAAGAGTTGGGCAGAGTGGGAAGGGAAAAAGGCATTATCAATTGTTGACTGCCCAGCATATGATACATACTCTGCTTGGGGACTTTACATGTTTTAGTTCATTTAACACTCACAGCATAACCTGTAAAACAGGCACTATTATTATGATTCCTGCATTACTGATAAGAAAGCCAAGGATGAGAGAAATGAAGTGTGATGATCAGATGTTACTCTCCTGCTTAAAATTCTAAGATTCTCCCTTCCCCTGAGGGTAAAAGTCCTAGCTAATCCCTGCCTCCAAGCTATTTTTTGGCTTCTGCCAACCTTCATAGTTTTATCTAGGCCCCTTTTTGTCTTGTACTAGGTCCTCCAGCCACACTGGTCTTTGTTCAGTTCTTTTAATGTGTCATATTTATTTGCATTGGGGCCATTGCTCATGCTATTTTCTCTGCCTGGACTGCTCTCCTCTGTATCTATGTCCACTCACCAAATAATTCCTACTCATTCTTCAGGTCTCAGCTTAGAAGTCACATCTTCGGGTTCTGAGGAAAGCTTCCCCTGACTGACCTCTTGACACTACCATGTCCCTGAAACTATGTTATGTCCCTCTGTTGTATCCTTCCATTGCATTGTCCATCTCCTCTGTACTATTTATCATATGGCATTACATGTAACCATGTGTTTGGAAACCATTTTCCTCATTAGATTCAGCTTCCTGTCCATATACTCTCCTGTTCCCTTCTTTATACCCAACATCTAGGATAATGCCTGACACCAGATATGTATTCAATAAATAGTTGTTGAATTAATTTATATCTAAGCCTCCTATAATTGATATGTAGTAGGTTCTCAATAAATATAGTTAAATACACACATAGTTACTATTACTATCATCCAAGTCAAATAGTCAGAGTCAACACTAGGATTTATACCCAATGTATACTTTTATAATATGATTTTGCCTGCAAAAACAGGTTCCTGGTGACCTAACTGGCCATATGACTTAGGGTAAGAGATTATATCACTATGAATCTCAGTTTTCCCATCTTTAAAATGGGGGTAAAGATAGGCAAAGTTCAGATTGCTCTGTATGTAACCTAGAAGAAGAGGAGAATAAAAGTCTAGACAGGAAAATATCTATGTAAATATGTAATTGACCAATACTAAGCAGTATTATTTCTCTGCAAGATATTTGATGAGATACCAAGAACCCTTGCATATTTATGCCCTTCAGACTGCTAACCCAAGTTAATGGCCATTTGGAGTAATGGATAGTATGTGGGCTTTGGTGTTAGATAGCCTGGGTGCAAATTCTAACACCCAATTTACCAGCTCTGGAATGCTAGGGAAGTTACTACCTTGATCCTCAATTTCCTTGTTTACAAATGGGATACCACCAACTTTTTAACCCCATTTTTAAGTTTAAAAAAATAAATACAATAACATGAAAATAATTTTATTTTTTTAATTTGGAAGGCAAAACTCCTACCATTTTATCTAACTAATAGCTCTTTCTGTGGTTCTGTACTATTAAAGGCTAATTCTTAAGGCAGGAGGCACAGACAGTGTTAACAAAGGAGAGAGAGAGACTGAAGACAAAAGCAGGCTGATGTTCAGAGTCCATCTTAAGAATCCATGGGATAGGCTCGGCGCCTATAGCTCAACCGGCTAAGGCGCCAGCCACGTACACCTAAGGTGGTGGGTTCGAATCCCCAGCCCGGACCCGCCAAACAACAATGACGCTGCAACCAAAAAATAGCCGGGCGTTGTGGCGGGCGCCTGTGGTCCCAGCTACTTGGGAGGCGGAGGCAGGAGACTCGCTTGAGCCCAGGAGTTGGAGGTTGCTGTGAGCTGTAATGCCACGGTACTCTACCCAGGGGGATAGCTTGAGGCTCTGTCTCAAAAAAAAAAAAAAAAAAGAATCCATGGGATAGTCTGGTGTAGAGGGGAAGGCCAGATACTGAAGCAGAAGAAAGGAGATTCCAAGTCTGAGTAAGGGGCATTAGGCTAGGAAGGTCCTGGGAACTAGGAAAGTAGGGAGCCAGGGGGAGGATAGCAACATGCCTTAGAGGGACAGTCTTTTGAAACTTTGTGGTGCTCTCCCATAGGCAGGCTTCAAATGGTCTCAAACAGCTTTGGAAACCATGTCTGTATAGTTCCTTTTCTTAGTCACATGCAAGTATATTTTGAAGTTGTAATCTCAATGTGTACACTTTTTTAGAGTATAATATCTTTGACATTTTGTATATCACAAATCTTTAATAGCTGCCAAATATTCTAATTTTGCCCAACGCCCAGAAAGGATATCTCTGTTTATTAATTTTTTGCTTGTTTGAATTACTTTCTTAGAATAAATTTCCCGATATGAGATGACTGAGCCAAAGAGTATAGAATTGGAATTTAACAATCAGGAACATGTTTTTGTTTTTCTAAAAAAAAAAAAAAATGACCTATAGTAATTTCCTTTTCCTTCCTTTTCTGGAACTGATGAGTGGACCCTATATTGTCCAATATGAAATTAAATTATATTTAAAATTCAATTTCTCAATTATACTAGACACATTTCAAGTGTTCAATAGCCACATGTGCCTAGTGGTTACAGTATTAGAAATCAGACATTAAACATTGTCATCACTAAAGAAAGTTTGTTGGACAGTGCATCTCCAAAATTTTTCAACAGCTCACTGTTGGCATCTTGACTAGAAGTTCTTTGTGTGTAAGATTCTTATGTGCATTGAGAGGCTATCTGAGTGGCCTATGTCCGCTAAATGTGAGTAGTACTCTCTTGAATCAATCTAATAGCTAAAATTTGTCCCACACTTGCAACTACCCCATAAGAAAACATAATTAACCCCATTTGAGATATTTAATCTTAGAACAGGGGTGTCTAACCTTTTTTGATACCCAACTGGGCTGCCACACATTAGAAAAATAAGAGCAGTCTTGGGCCACATAGTAAATGCACAAACATTAACAAAAGTTGATTAGCAAAAGAAAGGTCCATGCATATTTTTTGTGATACCCAACACCACAGATAATCAAAAAATGTGCTCACAAAATCAGGCCACAGGTTGGACAGCCCTGTCTTAGAAGAAAATAGCTCGTAACTTTTTGAGGGATGGTTTCAGATTGACTCTGCCTGCGCAGGAGGAGGCTTGAAAAGGTGGCATAGAAAGAAATCCTTGTCTCAGGGCCTAACTCTATACTCCATTTCTATTTTCCCCCCTTTGATGGCCTATTTCCTGCTTTTTGGGAATTGCAGAAACAAGACCCTGCAGATGGAGAAGATCAAGACCCGCTTGAAAGCTGAATTTGAGGCACTTGAGTCAGAGGAGAGGCACCTAAAGGAATATAAGCAAGAGATGGACCTCCTGCTGCAGGAGAAGATGGCCCATGTAGAGGAACTCCGACTGATCCATGCTGACATCAATGTGGTATGTGACTGACTAGAACCTACCTCTAAGCCTCTCGAGGAAGAGGCACTAGTGAGTGCTATGGCCTTTCTTGAGATATGGCTGTGGCCAATCTGGGCTAACAGGCATCGGTGCCAGCTGTGGTGGAATGGGAGAATCTAAGAGTTCTGAAATCCAGCCCTGCTTCTGTCACTGACTGTATATCACTGGACAAGTTTCTTCACTATGTGCCTCATTTTCCCTCTCTGCACTTATGAGAGGGACTCAGTAACCTCTAAGGGCTCTTTCAGCTCTTATGTCCTCTCATTCTGGGAGTCTAGAAGTTGAGAACCACCTGTGCAGTGTAGCTTAAAGTGCTTAAAAGTTTCCAACTAGACAGAACAAATCATCTCTGTCTGCCTACCAAAGTGAGGCTTAGTCTCTCCTTTGGAGACTCTTGGAATGTGGAAAAAGAACTAATTGTTAAGGTGATAAGCTCCCCTCTTTGGGAGTTATTCAAGCAGAGTCTGAATGGTCAACTGTCTGGGCTGCTATATTGGAGGTTGGAGGTGCCAATCTGTTAGGTCTTTTCTAACACTTAGAGCCTATGACATTGAGAAATAGTTTTTCCTTTTTCCTTCTCTAAAAATCCTTTTTCACTTCTACAGAATTTTTTATTTTTGAAATTTACTTTTGAAGGAGGTAAGTTTATATTTTTGAGACTCTTATTTATGTGGCAATTCTCATTTTCTGATGTTGTCAGGCCTAGAATCTTAAAGGAAATAGAAATGAGGTTTGAACAGAAGACACTTGGCATTTTCTGCTTTAAAGATCATATGATTCTGGAACCCATGAAGAATTGAGAGTTTTGCTGTCAGTTCACTAAAGATACAGGAACAATTAAATGAATAAAATACAACACAGAGAGGCTAAAAATCTAAGCCAGTGGATCTTCAATTTGAGCGTGTATCAGAGTCTCCTGAAAAGCCTATTAGACACATATTGTTGAACTCCACCCCAGATTTTCTGATTCTACATGTCTGGAGTTGAGCCTAAGAATTAACATATCTGATTTCCCAGATGACAGTGATGCTGCTAATCAGTACCCATATTTTGAGAACCACTGATCTGGAAAAATGGCCAATGGTCTGGGAGGCAGAAGCCCTAAGTCTTTCATCCAGGCTTTGCCTCAAATAAGTATTTTCCTGAAGAAGTCCCTTCTTTATGAGCTTCTATTTTCCCACCTGAAAAATGGTAATGGGATGGACTAAATGAGCTCTAAAAAATATTGCAGCTCTAAGATGCTCTATTTTAACAATAACTTCCATTTAGTGAGATTTACTCTATTGGTCCCTGTACTGAGGGCTGTTACATGTATATGAATTTGATTATGGAATATGCACCAAGATTGCATTTGGTAGGCATTATTACTCTCACCATTATATAGATGAAACTGAGGTTTGACCAGAGTTACATAATGAGGACATGGCAGATCAAGAACTTGAACATAGATTGAATAGGCTCTGAGGCATATTATCCACTCAGCTATAAAGCCCTCTCTAAGCATGTTGGGGTATTTTCTTTGTGCCTGCCTCACTCTATGTTCCAGATGGAAAACACTATCAAACAGTCTGAGAATGACCTAAACAAGCTGCTAGAGTCAACCCGGCGGCTGCATGATGAGTATAAGCCACTGAAAGAACATGTAGATGCCCTGCGTATGACTCTGGGCCTGCAGAGGCTTCCTGACTTGTGTGAAGAAGAGGAGAAACTTTCCTTGGAGTAAGCTGCCTGCCCCCTATTTCCTCAATATACCACACACACACACACACACACAGAGATGTATACATACACAAAACCTGGACTGAAAATTAGGGTACTAGTCCTCACACGCCTTTCAATGGCTGATTCATTGGATGACCTTGGGCAAATCTCTGTGCTGGATTATTACAATAGAAGAAAGATAACTAGAATTACTAGATGGCTTTTAAAATTCTTTGTGTGATTTTGACAATACAAGACTATGTATATACTCTTCAGGTGTCAATTCCTAACTCACTATCTATAAGGGCTATCCAGAAACCTTTAAAAATATAAAAGCCTGAGCTTTCATGGTCTGCTTGGGCTAGCCTGAAACTTTATCTCAAGATCTAGATTAAGAACTAGGCTCACCTTGCAGAGAGATAAGAGTTCAGCTGGGTAGAAGAAAGTGTTCTCTAAAGGTAAACCATGCTGCCTATGGAAGTGATGAGCTTCCTATTCCTAGAAGTATGTCAACAGAGGCCTGAAAATACTTAATGGAAATACTCAAAGAAGCATGGGATGGAGGACAGGACTTAGCGGCCTTTAAGGATCTTGCTATTCCTAAGATTTCTTGATCTTCTGGGTCTATCAGAGGCAAGGAACAGGAAGATCACCCTTCCCAGCAGATAGTGGGTCCAATTCTAGAGATAAGAGCCTTGTGATGGAGAGGGTACAGAAACATTCTAGCTAGCCACAACCCAACTCTTAGTTCTGTGGCATGGTATCTTTAAGAGAGGTAATTCAGAATGATCCATCCAATGTCTCTCATTTCCAAAGTTACTTTGAGAAGCAGAAAGCAGAGTGGCAGACAGAACCTCAGGAACCACCCATACCTGAGTCGTTGGCTGCTGCAGCTGCTGCTGCCCAACAACTCCAAGTGGCTAGGAAGCAGGACACTCGACAGACGGCCACCTTCAGGCAGCAGCCTCCACCTATGAAGGTGAGTGATCTTGGTACGGGCTGTAGAAGAAGCAAAGTATACTCCCACATAAGGCCCATGCAAAGCTGGGCCTTTGCCTTACTTATTTGGGTACTTCCTTAAACAACTTTTGCTTGGGACACAGAGGAAAGGGTGGCATGTTGTGTGCTGTGTTATATATATCCATTAGTTTTGTTTCCCAACATTCCCCAGAGGGGTTAGAATGCAGGGAGACTTGCAGACCCCACTAAAGTATAGTTCTAAAAGTTAGAAACATGGCTCTTTCACAAATATGTAGTGAGAATGTTTCCTAAATGAAGGCGGTAGCAGGATTATAAAGCTGTTCTAAGAGCATTTGAGGAGTAGATATTTATATAATCAGGAAAGAAAAAGAAATAAATTTGCAAAGTTAGATACAGAACTGATTTGTGTCAAGCAGGGCAATAAAACTCTGACCTTTATAGTTAACTTTTCTTCTGAACAGAAATACTTTGCATTTCTACTGGCCAAAAAACATTTCCAGCTTATCAGTGTAACATCACAGAGTCTGGGCTCTGATCAAAGGGACATTCTCTTAGAGCAGTGGTTCTCAATCTGTGGGTCGCAGCATTAGGAAGGTTGAGAACCACTGTCTTAGAGCAAAAGTCAGCAAACTACAGCCTACAGACCAGATACGACCTGCTCTCTGTTATTGCTAAAGTTTTATTGGCATACATGCATGCTTGTGATTTCAAGCTATTGCAAACAACAGGCATGAAAGCTATTATCTACAGTTTCTTTCATGTAAAACAGAGTAGAATAATTGCAACAAAGACCATATGATATGAACAGTTTAAAATGTTTACTATCTTGTCCTTTCTATAAAAAGTATGCTGACCCCTGTCTTAGAAAATTAAATAATCCTTGGGTGGGCCGTTAGACAGTACTCCAATATAAAGCTGAATGGATATATAGTCCTAATTTTATTTTATTTTTAAGTTTTGGATACTTTTTCTCAATACCCCTCTCCTTTCTCTCACATCTTCTATGATTTCCAAGAGTGCCATTATCTCTACTTGAGTCTTACTCACTGATTATTGCTTCTTCCTGATGGAGCAATCAGAGTTGTTTCATGGGCCCCTGGGAATCAGAAGTCTGAGCCACTGCCTAAAACAATCTGACTGCTAACTTTGTTCTGTACCCCACCAGGCTTGCTTGTCATGTCACCAGCAAATTCACCGGAATGCACCTATATGCCCTCTGTGCAAAGCCAAGAGTCGGTCCCGGAACCCCAAAAAGCCAAAACGGAAGCAGGATGAATGAAGAGAGGGAGAGCACATACAGCTCTGCTGATCACAAACCACCCCCACCAGAGTGATTGACGTCTTGATGTGAAACAACCCTTCCCCACTCCACCAAGTCTCCTATTTAATATGATGGAAGCACAACCCCTCTCTCACTTTGCTCTTATTTTTTTTTTGCTCTTGAGATTTCTGGTTTAGGAAGAGAAGTGGTTCAGGTGCTAATGACAGTATGTCTGATGGTCCCTTCTCTTCCACTGACATTTCACTCCATGTCCATGTTTAGAGCTAAGGGAAGGGCAAAAGGCCCAGAAGTGATTCTCTGGGTTTTTTTTTTTGTTGTTGTTGTTTGTTTGTTTGTTTGTTTGTTTGTTTTCCTGAGGCCTGAAGCCTAAGGACCTATAGGGTCTGGGGAATGGGGGATGTAAAGGATCCAGCATTTCCCCCTCCTCTACTGTACTTTTGCTTTAGGCTCTAAAGGGACAACAGTCTTCTTGCTGGACTTGCCATCAGGCTGAGTGCATATATCTCCCCAAATCTCTTTACCTTATCCTTAATACCCAGTAGTAGCTTGGATGAGTCCTCCTTTTTATATTCATTTGGGGGCCTGGCTGTTATTCTTTAGCTCTATCCACCTTAGTCTCCCAGATATACTAAAATTCTTAGGTACCAGGCTGTCTGGGAATCCTGAGATTGATGGGTCTTTCCCCCATACCTCTAGTATTTGCAATTCAGTATTAGAAGTTTCCTATAGGAAAATCAGGGAGCCAGCCCCATTCTACAAGTTCTGCCTAACTCATGCCTAAGTCATTGGGCCTGAGGTTTCTGTTGTATGAGCTGCCTCATGCTGAGAGATGCCCCAGGATTATATCTGTATTGGCTTTTGTTCTCTACCATTACTCTGGTACCTGATTAATGGTCACAGAGAGGAGAGGGATGGATTTAGATTCCATTCCTCTCCATTCTTTACAAATGCAGGTAGGTGGGACTTTCCCTCCATTCATCTCTCCCTTTCTGGATCTGCCTTCTTCTGTAAGGCAGCCTCAGCTCAGAATAGCTTGTGGCCACCTCTGCCCTACAGATTGTTCAGGTGGCCTTCCCTCTCAAAAGAAAGAAAACAAGCTCCCTATATGCCACAGCTCTCCTCTCCACCAGTCAGTCATTCTTGAACTTGAGAGGGAAGATGGGGTTGACTAGCTGAAAATATTTTAGCTCCAGGTCTCTGTCCCTGGCTGAGGAGGGGAGATATTTTTCCCTCCTTCCTTAACTGTAGTTCTACTTTGTCACAGTGTTTTTGTGTTCATAATATAAACGATTCCTCTGCTCTTTAAAAATAAGAGTGTTATGTGAAATACTTTTAAATAAACATTTGTTCATTGAAGTAAATTCTAACTGAGTACTTTCTGTGTACTGGATAATAAAAAAAAAAAGATGTAATGCTATTTTACTTTTCTGGATAGCTCTTCTTCACTCTTATTCAGCCCACCTTATAAATGAGGAAGCCAGACACTAAGACATAATAATTTACCCAATTATCATATCTTCCCTTTATTCATCAGCTACTCTATGCCAGGTACCTATGCAAGTTGCTTTATATAAGTGATTGTATTTGATTTACAAAACAACCATTCAAGCTAAGTATTCTTGTCACCATTTTCCAAAAAGAAAGGGAACTGAACCTCAGTAAAGTTAAACAGCTTCTCCATAGATAAACAGTACGATGAAATTTCAGTATTTGAATCCATCTTTGTCTAATTCCAGGGCCCAGTTTTTTTCTACTTCTTCTCCATGATCATTTTTTTTTTCCTTTAAGCCTTCCTCCATGTTGGAATAGCTTGATGGTAAGATTGGCTGAAATACCTCTGGATCTTAAATTAGGAACTAGGAATACAGTGACTGATGCTGGGATATGTTTATAAAGGCCTTGTTCCCTATAGGGATATAATAGGGAACAACTTTGAAGTAGTGTCCCAGTTTCAGAGATCCCCATAGGGTAAGTGGGGGAGCCAATATTGCTGTTAAGACAGCCTTGCAGGTCAGTGTTTCCCTCTGTCCAATCCTGCTCCTTTTTCCTTCTTCCCCTTTCTGAGTATTTATCCAATCACTCCCAGTACTTCTCAGGTAACTTAATAAGAAAAAACAATTTTCTATACCTCACTGTCTTCATCTAGAAAATGGGAAAATATTAACACCTATTTCATGAGGTTGTGAGCAATGGTAAGTACATAGTGAGCATGTTCATTTTCTTCTTTTCCTGTGTCTCTGCACTCAAGTAGATTAGATGACCAGTCAAAAGAAAATTCATCTTATCTGACATTTCTCTATCACGTAAGGTTTTATGCAGCTACAAGCCTGCTTTTGAGGCAACCTAGGCTCAATCTAGACAAATGGAAGGCTCTCAGCTGTACAACTCTGAGTATATTTTAACCTATAGGCCTCAGCAAGTCCCTATGAAATATGGGAGACATAGTCAGCCATTGTTCCACATCCTTGGCACGATGGAGGTCAGTGTGTACTAATGGCAGTATGTCTGATGATCCCTTCTCTTCCACTGACATTTCACTCCATGTCCATGTTTAGAGCTAAGGGAAGGACCAAAGATCCAGAAGTGATTCTCTGTTTTTTGTTCCTGAGGCCTGAAGCCTAAGGACCTATAGGGTCTGGGGAATGGGGGATGTAAGGGATCCAGCGTTTACCCTTCCTGTACTGTACTTTTGCTTTAGGCTCTAAAGGGACAACAGTCTTCTTGCTGGACTTGCCATCAGGCTGGGTGCATATATCTCCTCAACTCTCTTTATCTTATCCTGTCAATCCTGTTGTGTAGTGAAGGTAACAAGTCTTGACCTCTGGCTTGCCCGCTCACGAGTCAGACAAGCCAGTTCCTGGGGTACTTCTGAATGGGAAGAGAATAATTGTGTGTTCAGCACCCACACCTGTCAGCCACTCAGTGGGGTTTTACTATCTTATATAGTATTTCTGGTTCATTTATTGCTGTGAAACAAACCACCTCAAAACTGAGTGGCTTGAAACAACCACTTATTTTCTCATGATTCTGCAGTTTGAGCTAGACTAACTGGGAATGGCTCATTTATCTCCCATGTGGCATTGCCTCTGGCAGTTTGGGTAGATCTGGAAAATCTAAGATGGCTATATTCTCTACTGGCAACTCAGCTAGTGTGGCTGAAACAGCTGCATGGGTACCCACTACCAGCCTTGGTAGATTTTTTTTTATCCTCCAGGGCCTCTCTTTGTACATTTGACCTCTCTTTCCAGTAGACTAATCACAACTTTTCACCTGGAAATTGGCAACCAAGAAGGTGAAAGCCAAAACTAGCAGTCATACAACAACACTGCTGCTACATTCTATTGGTCAAAGCAAGTCACAGGGCTAGCTCACATTAAATGGGTGAAAAGTAGACTCTAACTCTTGATGGGAGTAGCTGCATGAATCTCAGAGATGGGAAGAATTGTCAGCTCTATTTGCAGAATACCACATTTTCTGACAACAATGTTTCAAGGAAGGTATTGCAATGTGTACACTTTTACAGATGCTAAACTGAGGCTCAAAAAGAGTAAAGGAATTCCGTAACAGTCAAAAAGGGTAAAATCCAGGTCGAACCCAAGTCTTTCTGCCTCTAAAGTCTGTGAATAAGGAAGGGAAGAAAAGTAACAAGAATAGAGTAAAAGAATACAAGGAGTAGAGAGAGAAGAGGAGGAGGAAGAGTCAGAAGAGTAAGGAAAGTATACTTTATAATTTATACTTGCTCAGAGTCACTGAGGAGGTGAAGGAAGCTGTGGCAGAGGCAAAGTCATATTCATCTAGCTAAAATCCTTTATACTTAAAGTACTTTCTTCAACATCCCCATTTGATGCTCACCCTAATAACCCTGTATTCTTTGTAGATCATGTATATGCAACACACCACCATGCCTAGCCAATTTTTCTATTTTTTTTTTTCATAGAGATGAGGGTATTGCTACATTTCCTGGGCTGGTATCAAACTCCTGCCCTCAAGTGATGCTTCTGTCTCAGCCTCCCAGTGTTGGAATTTCAAGCACAAGCCACTATGCCTGGCCTGTATTCTTCTTTGTAGACTCTTGTGGCTCTGCTTGCTTCCTGGAGACTAATTTTTCCTACGGTGTCAACCTCAGCTCTCTTCCTTTTGCATCTTATAACAAATTATCTCAGAGATATCATCTATTCCCTGGTTTCCAAAACCTCCTCTGCAACAATCATTTGTGTATTTGCATCTAACTCCTGTATTTTCCTCCTGAACTCTACACAAAAAGAATAACAACAGTTGGCATTTATTAAGTGCTTGCAATATGCCAAGAACTGTTGTTAGTACTTCATATGCATTTTCTCACAGAATCTTCACAAAAGGTTTATGGGGGGAGAAGTTATTCTTATTATTGTCCCCATTTTAATTATTGTGAAAATAAATCTCAAGTTGCTTAATTAATTTTTCTAGTCCCAAAGCTCTAAGTGGTAGGATTAGGATTTGAATTCAGATCTATTGAACCTCAGAGTCTTTGTTCTTAACTACTCTACCAGGTATGAAATGATACATGTACCATGACGTCTGAAGTGAATGGTGTTGAATTCTTAGAGCTCCTGTTTCCAGTTTGAGCAGGCACAGTGGGAAATTACAGATAAATTCACAGTGGAAGCAGTATGAGAGATGTGAAAAATTTGGGCATGTGGAACTAGGAAAGAAAGGACTTTTCAGGCTAAGAGAATAGCAAAAATCAAAGGCTGAAAGGGAAATAAATAAATAAAATAAAATAAAACAAACAAAAAAAACAAACCAAAAAAAACCATACAGTAATTACACGTTGGACAAAAGAATTTAGTTTTTATTTCATAAGAGCTTCTTATAGCAACATGGAAGATGAATGCAAGGGAGTGACTGAATCAGAGAGATCATCTTGGAGGCTACTGCCATAGTTCAAACAAAAAGCAAAACTGTTTTGAAATAAGAAAGTGTGCAGGGAATGGCTTGAGGGAGACAAATTTAGTCAAAATTCAGAAGGAAGTAAAAGGGTTCCTGGAAGAAAGAAAAGAAAAGAAACCATGGCCAGGATGAGTGAGGTATATGACAGACCTAGAAGCTCAGAGTGTTCCTTCTCAGGTTCAACAAAGGAGGAAGACAGAATCAGGGACTAGAGCATTTCTGGCCTGTAGCACAAAGAGGAAGAGTTCATGCTTGTCAATTTCCTAGGAATTTAGAATTGACTCTGAGATTCTGGGTGATGTTATTTTTTTTCCCTGTGGCTCAAAGGGGCATAATTATGGTAGAGGTACTTTGCCAACTGGAAACTGTG